TATATATATCTATATCTATATATATAGTTAACCAGATTGGATGAATGTGATACCTTAATGACTGACATCAATCCAGTCTTGAACTGAAGTACACCCCTGCCCTCACTGTTTGGATCCAAATTTTGCGCCATACTATATGCTTGCTCACAAACTGAATAAAAATTCAATAGCCAAAGAGTGTGAACTATACAAGTGAACAATAAAATTCGATGAAATGAAAGAAGAGGCTCCGGTGTATAGAGAGGACCTATAGCAATAAAGACTTGCAAGTGCTTTAGTGAAATCAATCGTAAACACAAAAATACATGCTCAAACGCACATGATAGTAAACATGAAGCACTCATTGACCTTCGATGTGAAATTCAAAGATAGTTAGGTGCCAATACAAAAGAATACTCATGGAGATGATTTCTTTACCCCTCAAATGCATTTACTTAGGGCCCATTTAGCAACAATTTTGTTTTCTATTTTTGTTTTCATTTTTGTTATATTTTTTAAAACATGTTTGGATAGTATAATTTTTATATGATTTTATTTTTAAAATTTTTAAAATCAAATCATCTTGTTTTTAAAACACTCATAACACCAAAAGATCTTTTGAGTGTTTTTAAAAAACAACTATCACAGCAAACAAGTTTTAATTCAAATCAAAACAATAACAAAACAGGAAAAAAAAATAGCAAACAAAAATACAATTGATCCCAAACAGAGGCTTAGGGATACAAAAATGAAACTACAGTTATTTCCAATTTTTCTTCCTAAATGAGATATTGATCCCATATACACCATTAAATATTAACAAGCAAAATGCCCATTCTCTCCCAATCAGAACCACAATTAGTTTGAACCCTCGTTAGATACATTTACAATGAATTTGTTGTATTGAGAGAACATATGTGATTTCTTGTAACAAGATGAACTAAAATCTAAAAAAAAAATTTCGCTTTTCAAATATACAAGGAAAAAATACAACAACAAGTTTTTATCCCACTAAGTGGGGTCAGCTACAGGAATCTTTTTTCTCCATTGCATCCAATTAAGTGTCATATTTTCATTTAATTCAAATAAATTAAAGATCAATTTTTATACAATACACTAGAGTCCTTATAGGTCTACCTCTACCTTTCTTAACAAAAATCAGATCTAAAACATATAATTGGATTATCAAATGGTCGGCGTTTAATGTGACCAAACCATCTAAGACAATTTTCTCCAATCTTCTCTGCCACTGAAGCTACACCAACCCTTTCATAGATACATTCGTTTCGCATTTTATTTCTAAGTGTCAAGCCACTCAACCACCTAAGCATTCTCATCTTAGCAACACTTAACTTAGTTTTATGCTTCTCCATTAAAGGTCAATATTCAATGTCATAAAGCATTGCAGGTGTCACCCCATCTTATAAAATTTTCTTTTAATTCTAAGTGGTACTTTTCTATCACACAATAGGCCCAATGCATTCTTACACTTAAATCAACAAACTTGAATTCAACTAATAATATCCTCATCGATGTCACCATCACTTTGAACAATAGACCTGAGATACCCAAAACATTCATACCTTTTAATGATTTGATCACCCATAGTAACAATTCTGCCACTAAAATTATATTAGAAGAAGTCTACTTTAGATCTAATCAAACGAAGACTTTTAGACTCTAATCTAGACCCCCATAATTCAACTTTTTTCAGGAACTCTTTCTCTAGTCTTATCCACAAGAAAGGTTTCTATAGCGAATAGCATACATCAAGGTACGTCCGCCTGTAAATGTCTAGTAAAAGCATCCATAACTAAAACAAAAATATATGAGTTTAACCTCATCCCAGATGTAATCCAACTGAAATAGGAAAATACTTGGTAAATCCTCTTCCTGTTTGAACGCATGTATCAGCCCTAGAATACATATATTTAATGACTTAATATAAGTCATATCAATACCCTTCTTTTTTTAAAACTCTCCAAAAAACTTCTCTTGGAACCTTATTGTAAGCATTTTCCAAATCAATAAAAATCATATGCAGATCCTCCTTACTCTCTCTCTGTACTTCTCCATAAAACCTCTCAATAAATGTATGGTTTCAACAGTAAACTTGCCTCGCATAAATCCAAACTGATTATGAGAAATCTTTGTATTGCGTCTTAACCTATGTTCAATTACTCTCTCATAATTTTAAAGTATGACACATTAACTTTATTCTTCTATAATTTGCACACTCTAGTGCATCCCTTTTATTCTTAAAAACGGAGACCAAAAAACTTATCCTCCGCTCCTCCAGCATCTTTTTAAATTTTAAAATAATATTAAAGAATTTATTAAACCAAGAAACTCCCAAATCTCCAAGATATTTACACACTTCAATTGGGATATCATCAAGTCCTATTAATTTTCCACTCTTTATTGAATGACAAAATATTCTTCCAATGTCGCCTTCAAGGGTTCAATGAAAGTCGTCGTTATAAGAGTCCACTAGTAGTCATTCTTTATAATGTATTTAACACCTTACACTTGATGGAATCCATCCAGCAAAAACGCCTAAATTATAGCTAATAACAAATATGCTTCTTGCTAGCCACCCTACAGCATTTACTCAGTAAACATTCACTATAATTAACTAATTAAAAAACTGTAGTTTGAATCAAACAGATTCACATGAAAATGATGATCAAGACGATGAAAGTATAACATAGCATAAATAAATGACTCAAAACACCCTCTGTTCCCAAGCAACAGTATTTATTTAAGACGTTTGATAATTGATATAATTAGTGCAAGATTACTAAAAAAAACTTAATAATTCATTTCATATGCAGAAATTGCATTAATATTTAGGTTTTACATAATGAAATTATCATATATCACACATAAACAGCCCAAAACGCCCTCCCTTCACAACATCATTTTTCTTTTAAGAAGTTTGGTATGCATGGCGGAAGATCACAATTAAAAACCTCTATAAATAGTTTTTATCCAGGTCTGCATAGCGGAAGATCACAACTAAAAATCTTTAGAATTAGTTATTATGCAGATATCATATAAATAGTTAAATTTACAAATAAGGATTCTCTCACCAAATCTTTAACTTGTTTTTTATATTACAAAAGATAAGCCCAACCAAGAATCAAAAAACCGATGCAAAAGCAGGTGTTCTGGCAATTATATGTGAGAAGTCAATACTGGTAGCAATATTAGTAGCAATACTAGTAGCAGTATTAGTAGTAGTGGCTGCGGGCATTGACAATTTCATCTTCTGACTTGATCAAATAAAGGATTATCGCGTTTTACAAAACAGAAATGGGTTGCGAATCTCACCCAATTAAGGTTGCTTAGAAGAAACAACTTGTAAGTTTTTAAAGCTCACATAATCAAGAATTGAATCACTAGTATAACGGTATATGAGCTGTGCAAGGATGTCACTTACGGATCCTCGCAACATTGGGATCCTCATCCTCAATTTCATCTGCAGCTTGTAGGATTGCGTCGATGTTGGTAGTCCTGCCAAGAGACGGAGGTACGGCCCCAGCGAGCCCCGATGCGGATTGGCCGGGCCTCTGGCCAGCAGTCCTAAGCTGCTCCCTCTGCAGGGTCGCCCGCACAAGACGCTCCCAGTTTTCGTAGACCGTCATGGCCGCCGGAAAGGCGAAAATCTAGCTCAGTCGGAAATGTTTAATATATGAGGCAACGCTTAGGGCGTCGGTCCAGCTTTAAAAGAACTGGGAGAAGATATTGAGGTACTGGCGAGAGGAAAGCAGAGGAGAGAGCGAAGCCCTAACAACTCTGAGAAGACTAAACGGAGGTGGAAAAACTCGGTCGGACGAAGGAGTCGGAGATGAAGGTATTAAGATACGATGACGCGGAGGAGATTATCGGGGACGGGGTGTGTTTTTTCAGACCAATTAATTTTACTACTCAAATTTATTGCCGCGGTGAAGCAACCCATTTTCACACTGCAGTTTGCTTGGCGGAATGGACAAGGCTCGTTGCTGAGTAAAAAATATTATATTCCAACTCATTCTAATGGTTCGTTTGGGACAGCTTATAAATGTGGGCGGCATTTTCAAAACGTCGTCGTACTATTTGGTTCGCGCGTTTCACCAGTTTATCCGAAACTGTATTTGGATTTTTACACTAAACGCAGACCGCAGGTCGACCCCTGCGGTTGGCCCGCGGGCCGCGTTGCTTATCCTGAAACAGACAAGCTTACCCAAACGGACCAAACGGACCCTAAGTTTAATGGTGGAGTGTCGAATGTCAAATAACTTCTATCACTTTTAATATTGAACATATCTGACACGTGACGCCTCATCATTACACGCCTAACACAATTTACATTAAGAATTCTGATGTAACTACAACCATAAATGTACAAATATGATTTTTTTTTAGTTGGTATTTTCTCAACACTTGTGATTTAAGTACGACAGTAGATTTTAAATTATGATCTTATTTAAAAAAAATATTGTAATAATCACAGTATATTTTTAGTATCACATTATCACTCCGCAGCATCCCAGTTACTTTTTAAAAAATATATAACTCCCCAATTAGATTTTATATCTATACAAGTTTAATCAAAATTTATATTATTATTATAAAATCATTTTTGCGATTTTATCTAAGAAATTGTTCCTTATAATTTTTAGAAGGTAAATCTCGAAGTTAATTAGGTCTAAATTTTCATATCAAGTTTTGCTTTATTAAAACAAACAATCCTGAATTTGTAGACAAGAAGTGCCGAGATTCTTTTTTTTTTTTTCTTTTCCTTTTGAATTCTTTCCATAAAATCTATAATATATAAATTCAGCTTTATATACCTCATAATAGCTATAATTATTTATTTTCATGAGAAAAAATATCTGAAAAATTAATTCATGTAATAATACCACATTTTTTTAAGACTATTTATTTAAAGTTCGTCCCAAATAGCTTCAGTTCAATCAATATTCAAATAAAATTTGAATTATATGAGTAAAATTCGCAGCATTCGAACATTATTCAAACATGGCTAGGATTAATTTCAAGACATGTGTAACATGGCTCAATATTTAGAATATATTTCAAACATGATTTGAATAATATTTGTGCATGATTTATTTACGATATGTGCAATGTGGTATGTTCTGAAAGCCTTATCACAACATACAACATTAATTTTAAGGTAGATAAAATAAATATGGCATGACAAGTTGTAAGATTGTTGGGTGCCTGAAAATTCTCAGTGATAGAGTGATTAATTAATCTCTTAGCATTGTAGGAAGATCCAACAAATAGACATATAACAAAAAGATAGCAGGAGAAAACACAAAAAAAATTACTAGAAAAACTCTTAAAGGGAAAAAATCATGGGATTTAAACCAATTAAACTAATCCATTATAAATGTGTAATTACAAAGACGAGCACTTTTCTCACAAGTGAGAGAGAATGGTTACAATTTTGCACTAGTTATAACAATTGTTCATATACAACTCATGTCAATTTTTCAAAAGTCCGGTTAAAATTGACAGAAGTTATCGTTGGATCTTCAATAAGACGATATGTGTTACAGTTGTATTTCAGATACAATGTTAGAAATAGGGGTGGTCAGCCAGCAATGATCAATGGTGGTCAATAGCTATCGAGGTCAGAAGTTATCGTTCGGTCTTTGGTTTAGAACAACACTATAATTAATTATCGTTGGATCTTCAATATGACATTATATGTTACATGTGTATTTAAAATATGTCATTGCAAACAAAGATGGTCAACGACGGCGAGCAGGGAAACCGATGGTGAGCGGTGGTCGGCGGCTACGGAGACCGAAAGTTTTTGTCGAATCTTAAATATGGCATCATATGTTACGACCGTATTTTCGATACATAGTTAAAGCATAGGCAGTCTGTTGTGGCGAGTAGTGATCGATGATGTTCAAGGGCTACGAAGGTCGAAAGTTATCATTGGATCTTCAGTATGATGTTATATGTTGTGGTCTTGTTCCTGATACATCGTTACAAGCAAAGGTGGTTGACGACAACGAGCCGGTGCAGTGCATGGTGATTGGTGGTCGGCGATTACGGAGGCCTACAGTTATCGTCAAGCCTTCAGCCCAAAACATCACAGCTGTGAAGATAAGAGGTCAATTTATAACATCTAGGGAAGGATCATTTTAATCCTTTAGCAATTAACTTTCATTAGCACCTATTTTGATGATTTCAAGGCCTTAATGATCATGACCTCATAATTAAGTAAACTTATACTTATTGGATTTCGTTCGTCGAGAAGCTCGATTTAACTATAATTTTTCAAAATTTGGAGTTTATTAGGCAATTCCATTAATATATAATGCCTCCAAATATGTTTTAATAGTTTGATTTGGATTTAATTTGAATAGGATTAAATAATTTTAGAATCATTTGGTTTGTCTTTTTGAGATTGTCAATTTAGCTATAAATTTGTTGAAATTGCGGTTCTGTATGATCTTTAATTTGAATATAAAATATTTATTATTAAAAAAAGCTTTAAGATTTGTGTTGAAAGATAAAATTAATTAATGATACATCACTAGTCCTCTTATTTCTAGGTGATGTTATTTATTTTATTTGAAAATAAACATTTGTACTTTGAGATGTTTTAAGTTATTATGGGTACCTTCTAAACTTTGAATTAGATTGTCGTTGTTACAGTTGTCAGTGGCATGGCGGTTGTGGTCTAAAGGCAACAGTGGTTGTTAGCTAAATGTTACTCCAGCAGTGGTAACAACCATAAGGAGGTGGTAAATGTCTGACGGAGCAATCGCTCACACACAGAGGCATATGTGTGTTCGTATAAGCAAAGGGGTATAATTATGTATTAAAAGTGTAATGGGATCCAAAAGCGGGTACGAACGCAAATAGGAATGAAACGGAACGCATGAGAATGAACCGGTGTGTGCATGGGCTCGAGTGGAAGCATGCAGGTGCTTGAACAAGCGAGTGCGTGTGGGAGCAAATGCTTGCATGCGCAAGCTGGCATGCATGAGCTGGTGTGTGCTTGGATGTGTTAGCATTGCAGGTGTTGTGGATTGTAAGAAGCAATGATGATGTGCAGGCAAAACGATGGGGCACCAGCAAGCCGGTGGTGGGTGTGTATAGAGTAAGGTAATGACATAAATGATTTTTAATGCATGTGTTGTCAAGCTATGCGGAGCATATATTAAGATCCCAGCTTTGAGGAAACAATGATGTAAATGAGTGTAATATCATATATTCTGCAAACCATCTTGTCGTGACAATGTTTTTCTTTTATATGTTGAATGACAGAAAATATTAATATGAAAACTTATGAACTTTAACTAGTTCTTCAATAAGCAATCTTATCTTCCACAATTTCAGTATGCTTGAATTTTGATTAAATCACTGTTAAAATACAAAAAAAAAAAATAGAATACAAAGGAAGATTGTCGCAGATAAATTAATATTTCCCATGAAAAACTAAATCACATGATGATTAAACAAAATTCAACTTCTGTCCAAAGGGAAAAATTAATAGACTCCGATAAGGATGAGCTTCTTGCTTATTTGTAATGAAATAAATTATAAGAGAAAAAATTTGTTTTTCTTCTTCAATTTATCTTCCACGCGCTTGGTAAAGCTTTATCTCAGTATTGTGGTAGTAGTCAATGCAGCAATTCTTTTCATGCAGTTCTACTACTGCAATGGATTTGTACCTCAGCTTGAGAAGGGTTAAACTGTGGCAACTATACGAGCGCGCAAAGGGAATGATTGGGATTGTGATTGATAACTTCAACCTTACAGAAAATGCTTAAATTAAAATGACTGTATGCATTCTAGTAAGTTACACCGACATTCTTTAGCTAGAAGAACATCACTATGCCGCAATACATACCTTTATTTATCTGGAAGAGAGTAGCTTCCCTGTCAATAAGATTCAACTTAGTTTTGATTGTAATCAGAATAAGCATCAATGAAGCTAAGCATTTGATGCTAGAGATATCATCGACTAACTAATCTAATCGTGGAAAAGGAGAATTATCTTTTGGACAAGTTTTGTTAAGATTAGTATATCCAATACACATCTTCCAAGCTCCAAAAGCCTTCTTCATCATAACAATATTTACTAGTTAAATGGGATGATGCACCTCAACTATGAAATTGGCTAAAAAAAAATTTTAGCTTTTTACTTAATCGTTTGTTCACATTATGACATAAAGTTTCCCTTCTTCTGGATGATTAACTTATATGTAGGGTTGATCATTCAAAAATGCACAATTAATTCAGGATCAACCTCAAACATATCTCTCACATTTGAGACATTCACTTTTTTATTTCTACAGAGAAATTAAATGTATTTCAAAGTTGTCAAACTAGACAAAAGAAATTCAAACTACACAATATGTAAGGGTGTTTTTTAGCTAAGGAGACACATTAAAATCCTGTTGCGATAGTTTTTTATCTTAAAGTTCAAAACTCTTGTTGTTGAGAGTCTTGAACAGGCAAGGTTAAGCTTGTCTAAGGCAACACGATTGTGGCATTTTTTTTAATCCAAGTGTGTAACACGGGCTTCAAATGGTATTAAAAATTTTATCTTGAGGTGTGGAATAGAAACCACAGCCCTAAAGATTGACTAGACAGGTCCTTCGCAGATGGCATCACATGATGATTTCAACTTGACAACAATAAATTAGATCAGGTGAGTCATCTATTCAGGGAACACTCCCAATGCAACGGGAAGATTGATTGCTCCATTATCAATTTTGTAGAGAGGTTTTGCGACATGTTACATTTTTTTCCTTAATCAACCATCAACTAAGGACTGTTGAGTAAAATAAAACATCGATTAAACTCCCTTTATCAATAAGGATTATCTTTATGTTATTGTAATGGCCACCAATTCTGGCACTTATAATAAGAGAATCATGGAGA